CTGTGTATAATGAATGAAGACAAGCGGAGCAATGAGGAGAAGTCTAGTGTTCTCTGCAGGCTTTTACTTCTGCTGTTGTTGCCCCACTGATTTTCCTGTACATCGACCAAAACAAATCCCACAATAAGAGAGAAAGAGAGTTTGTGTAAGAGTTCCCTTCATCAAGCGTCTCTCCTCAGCCTCGAGGATGTGAGCGATAACTTTAGAAAAATTTCACTCTGTGTTCGAGTGTTATTTATGGTTTCAGGGTTAGCACAAGAGGAGAGAGAGCTGACATTGACCCCAAACCCCCTCCTTGCTCGCTTGCTCACTCACACTCTCTCTCTCGCTCGCTCCCCCTCCTCTCTCTGAGGCTGCGCTGGTGCTGACCCGCTCTGCATCAGACTGATGGAGGAGCAGGAGCTCTCGGCTGCTGCAGGTAAGAGCAAATAAACCCATGCTTCTAAACATCAATGCTTTCTGCTCGAACGCTCTCAGCAGGGGAGAGGAGCCGGTGCTTGGTGGTGCTGGAGTTCTCAGAAACAATCAGATGCACAGAGGAGGAGGAGTTTGGGCATCTGTTAAACGCTAGCAGTCGTGTGCGAGGAATCTGTGGAGATCTGATGAGGCGTATCTTAGCCAGAGGAGCTGTGGTGAAGAAGAAAACACAAAGAGGGAGAGAGAGAGAGGGAGAGGGAGATTGGGAGGGAGACATGTCTGTTCTGAGCTCAGCTGTAGCGTGCTGCCGGAGCAGAAAGGCTGCGCTGTCTTTCCCAGTGGCTGGTACTGGACTGCACCATCACTCTTTTGTTGCCCGCTCGAGTGCTGAATGCTAACGAAGCTTCCATCTCTTTAGGAATGTGTTGTGATGCACACAGCAGGATCTGCATGAGAGGCACGCAGCAGGAGAGAGAGAGAGAGAGAGAGAGAGAGAGAGGGAGAGAGAGAGAGAGAGAGAGGGAGAGAGAGGAATCTGCTGTGTATGAGGTAATTACTGCAGAGAGAGTTCCATCCCGGCGCTGAGTCTACAGCTCCAACAGCTTTCTCTGGAAGAGATCTAAACACTGAGGAGATGAGGAGCTGTCTCACAGACGCCCAGCAACGGCTCCAGACCAGCTCTAGAGTCTCGCTGCTGAGTCTAGTGTCCTGCTGGTGAACAATAGAACCATTGTGAGCCTCAGACCGGAACCAACTCGAGCCGAGCTACTGCTCGCAGGGGTCAGGAGGACTTGACTCGTTACACAGCTACACAGAGTGGATGAGCTGCTTTGAATATTTTCAGCTGATCTGAAATCAGGGATCAATAACAGACATCTCCTGTTGGTGTCTGGAATGATGGGGCACTCGCCCCTCCATCTGCTCCGATCTCCTCCAGTGATCCGCACGCTTTAAGCTGCAGATCAGGAGAATACGAGCGGACGATGAGTTCTCTTTGATTCCTGTGGCCGTGTTTAATCAGACAAGTTCGGAGCGGACGGTTCGGATGTCTTCATCTCAACTCCACCCATTCATTATAATCTGGCCTCACAATCTCTTCAGACACCTACAGAGACCCGAACATGAACCGGTTTTGCTCTGGTTTAACGAGCCACTAGAGCGTTTTTTTTTTTATTGGAGGGTTCTGGGTTTCCCTGAGAACCCAAACCAAACACCTGCAGCAAACCCTCAGGATTACGAACATGTTGCTCTCCACCCAGAGACGTATCAGTCGCAGGAAGAATCTCAATGGGTCCCTTGAGCCAGCGCTGGTGTAACTGAACAGAGCCGAGGGATGGCAGCAGCTCGTCTGCATTAACCGCCGGCGTAATAAATCAATATCAGTATCAATACCCTCACAGAAACACCAGCTTCTTCTGTTTCAGCCGAGCGAGCAAGAGCGAGAGAGAGAGAGAGTAAGCTCAGGTTCCCTCAGCAATCGTTTCCACTTCTGTTGAACCTAAGTCCAGTTCTGCAGCACTCTTCTGAACGGCTCAGAATCTCAGCAAAAGCAACCAATCACAGATGCCGGAAAGCCAAACCGACCAATCACAGATGAAGCTGGAGAGAGCTGAACTAACCAAACCACGTTAGTTTCAGGACAATGTTCTTGTTCAAAGCTGTTGTGCTTTATTTGAATTTAGTTCTCCATCAGGACATCTTCAGGTTCCACTCTCTGAGCTCGATTTCATCGAGAGCAGTTAATGTCCTGTCTCTGTTTCCTACAGAACCGCTAAGAGAAAGAGACTTCCAGAAGCTTCTCAAGTCCTCCAGCTCTGCCAGTTTGACCACTGAAGCCCTCCACAATGCACCAGGAGAGCACACGGGCACCCCTGCGCATCATGGAAGCCTTGTGCTCATCACGGAGAAACGACGTGAGTCTGAAATCACCAGGTTCACCTGAGAGGTTCCGGAAGAATGGTGCTAGCAGTACTTGTGGGGGTTAAATGTGTCTCTTTCTCCCTAGAACCTTTGAGCAGCGTCTCCTCTCTGGAGGTTCACTTTGATCTTCTGGATCTCACGGAGCTCACGGACACTTCGGATCAGGAGCTGGGAGAGGTCTTCAATGACTCAGATGAGGAGAACCACAGCCAGAACCAGAACTGTGAGTCAAAACGAGATCAAGAGGAAGAACATCCGCTCACCAACACAGAAACCACTTTCACCAAAAACTACAATCGAAGTCCAGGTTTAAAACCACAACTATGATAGACTCTAAACTAGAACCAGCCCAGTAAGAACCTAACACAAGGCCAGACGAGCAGAACCGGAAACACGTTCACCAGAATCAAAATCAGGCAAGAATTAAACTAGACGCAGTTTTGCCTGGAACCACAAATCATGCGTCAAACCAGAACATTACATTTTCTCTGTGGTTTATCTGGAGAAGAACCAGTAGCCCCAGCTAACATTGAATCCTTTCTGCTCTTTCAGATCTCCACCAGCCCCCATTTCTATCGAAGCTGACTCACAGCGCTTGTGTCCGATCACCCTCCTGGACTCCAGGGGTCAAACCCGAGGGCCTCCCCAGAGAGAGAACCCATCACAGCGACTCGGAGAACAGCGAACCAGTGCTGAAGATCGAGCGTTCACAATCCCAGCAGCCCTGAAAACATCCAAAAACCTGACCAGGAACAGACCACCCAGTGGCTTGAGATGCCGTGCTGAGCCTCAGAGACTTCCTGGTGTTCTCAAGAGAGAGAGAGAGAGTGAGAAGATATAGCGAGATATGAAGTGTAGTCTATCTGAAGAGATGTTGAGGAATAAAACCGAGACTGGATAGTCGCGAGGAACACGGAGAGGTCTGCACTAAACGATCAAATCCAGCATTAGCTAGGCATGAAAACAAACCAAATCCCACGCGCTAAGAAGCATGGCCAAAGCCCAACCCAAACGACTCCATCCAAAGAAAGAAGGCACAGAGATGATGAAGCTCTCGATTCTTCTCCACTGCTGGATCCTTTGAGCAGAGATCGTCTTCCCCGAAACAAAAGTGAGAAGATAACCCTGGTGTTGTCCTTAAAATGGATTTGCAGTAGGATGTTGAGAGAGCACTGTGTGAGAAAGAATGTTTTTTTTTTTAAATGCAGTGAAGGTCTGGATCAGGACAGGGCCTGAAACAGGAGTCTGAACCTCCGCTCTGAGTCATGTAAAGGACTCGTCTGTGAGGAGGTGCTGCTCCATCAGCATCAGAATAAACCAGTGGAGCTCAATCCTGCTGTCTCAGAAGTTTCTTTCTCACGTGGGTTCAACAATCTAATGCTTTTCTTCATTTGAAGGTTCTCAAAGGCGCAGAAGTTCAGCTCAAAGACATGCGTGTAAACAGCGGTCGAACCCTGAAGGAGTTTATGAAACACAGGATGCTGCGTCACAGTGCTGAAGGCTCAGTAACCTCGCGGCCTTTGTTTGCTAAAGTGCTAACCACACGGCGTTGCGATGTTCCCGAGGTGTTAAATGAAGCCAGACGGTGAATCTGATAGTGATGTGTCGTTCAAGAACGATTCGTTCTTTTTGAACGAATCTTTAATGTGACTCCGTATGAACGAGTCGTGTTGGAGAGGGATTCGTTCATTTGCGCATGCGCATCATTCTTGTGGTTTTCCGAGCGTAACCCGTTCATCATCAATGACAGAAGACCGAAAAGACCCGAATGACTCGAAAGATGAACTAATCTTTTCTGTTTCCGGCTCATGGCCGCTCCATAATGTTAACCAATGCAGCATGAGCCGGAAAGAGAAAAGACCGAAAGGACCCGGACTCGCTAAAAGAACGAATCTTTTCGGGTTCCGGCTCATAGCCACTCCGTAATGTTAACCAATGCAGCATGAGCCGGAAAGAGAAAAGACCGAAAGGACCCGAAGAAGCAAAAAGAACGAATCTTTTCGGATCCCAGCACTGTAGCGGTCACGTGACAAAAGTGCTAAAGAAGCCAGTCCGGACTGAGTGCACGGACTGCACACGTTAACATCAGAGTGAAGTAATTTTGTGTCGAACAAAAGAGATTTAAATCTAAAGAAGACAGATCAGAGTTTGGGTAAACCAGACTAAAAGACCCAGGTAGGCTTTAGTAATATATTATATTCATTTTAAATTTAGCATTATAGTTTTGTCTTATTTGTAGTGTGATTCGCGTTTGTGTATAAAACGCTAGTAGATGTGGAAGTACACACAACATTTATTGATATTTTAGTAAAATGAACGAAATGACTCGAAAAAAGATCCGAACGAGACTCAAAGAACCGAATCCGTAAAATGATCCGAACTTCCCATCACTAGAATCTGAGCTTTTGTGAATGGCTTTAAACGTACCGATCAGGGAACAGCTGCAGGGGGGCCGTGATTGACAGCTGTGTCGCCCAATCAAAGAGCAACCAGTGATCCCGCCTTCACCATCCTCTGAAACTTGATTGGCGGAGCTGAATTTTACTCCCCTTCATCTAAATATTTTATAAGTATGTACTCGGTAATAAACTGTAATTTTGTTGTAATCAGCACGTTTTATTTCTTAAATCCAGTGGATATTTGAGAAACGTTAATTTTAAAGCTTTCCTTTGGCTCAGTTGGTAGAGCGTTGCGAGGGAAACGCAAAGTTCGTGGGTTTAAATCCCAGTTTAAAATGTAAGTCGCTTTGAATAAAATGTACAGCAATTTTACAGCAAACTACATTTAATCTAAAAAATAGTCTCAAAAACTTGTCCCACCACCCAGAGGACATTACTTAAGCAATTGTTCATTCTTCTTCTGACCCACGTGTTCACTTTCAGGCTCACGGGGAATTTCTATTAACCTGCAGCATGTGTTTGTGGGGAAACCCACGGGGAGAACATGCCAACCAGCAACTTTTTACTGAGTCAGAAGAATCTGTTTCTTCTGAAGACTTTCCTCATCTTAAAGACAAAGCAGGAAGTGACTTTATTAATGATTTAAAGCAAGTTGCAGTTAATTGTTTCCACAGAAGAAAAATAATGAGTTTTAAGATTCTATTTCCAAGCACAAACAAAAGCATTTCCTCGCGGTTCCACCTCAAACATAAACAGATAAAGTTGTTTTCACTCGTTTCCAACATTCTACATAATATTCAGACGAAACTTCTCATCTCTCACTTTCCACAGAGGACCAGAAGCTTCTGGCGCAACTTCTACCAACACTTCACACGCTCCAGAGAGAGAGAGAGAGAGAGAGAGAGAGAGAGAGCTGATGATCATTCGCTGTCGCTAGCGCTCTCAGAACTGACGTAGCACCCATCCTCCCCCAGATCCTCCTGGAACCAGCGTCCCGACACTAAACACACAGACACATCATTAGGATTCGCTGTTCAATCCAACAGGAACCATGGCTGCAGCAATCCTCACCCTTGAGAGGAGATGCATGAGCTTCTTCGATGCGCTCGAACTCGTAGCTGACGAACCCACTCTGCAAGAGACACACGCATCATAGTGCTTAGAACCCACTCTCACACCCAGCACTAAGAACAAGAACTCAGAACCATCTTCCAGGCCCAGAACCAGCTCAAAGAAGAGCCCGTTGAGACTGAGGCTCGCTGCGTCTCAGGGTTTTCAGGGACATCCACAGAATCTCCTTGTGGACTGAGGAACGTCCCTCAGGAGCGAGGCATGCGTTCTGAGGATCCTGCAGCTGCGGCGCTTCTCCTGTGTCTGTAAAGATCCAGCAAGCACCGACAGCTTGCCTTGTGCTTGAGCAGCATCGTCCAATCACGACTCTCCTTCTTCCTCAGCCGGATCACGGGCTCGTTGCACTTCATTTCCCAGCAGCACTGCTCGGTGATGATGTCATCAAACAGCTCCAGCCGGGCGCAGTAGTGGCGCTCGTTCACGTATCCGCTGAGGACACAGAGCATCAAGGGTTAACGAGAGTTCGTCCTGAAGCTGATCCAGAACCAGCGGCCGATTCGACTTTAATCGCAGTCAAATAATTATTAACAGGAAATAAATAATCACTAAATAATCCATCAGTAAACAAAAATAAATGCATTAAAAACTAAACAAAAGTCATTAAATCGAAGGATAAACAAATGTACAAAGAAACATTTCAAACGTAAGAATAAAAAACACAAACACACATGATGAAGAAATCTGTTAATTAAGACTAAATATAAATTATATAAATGCAAGTTTTGAAAATAAAAATACAGATAAAGTAATAAAGAAAGCAATGTTTGATTAAATAAATGCTCATCATTAACAAAATAAATATTTAACATTTAGGAAAAAAATAAAGCTTGGATCATCACAGAGATGAGGGTCATGTGATCAGTGCAAACAGGAAGTGGAGCCCTGATCTGGAGACACCTGTAGAGGAGCCAGTTGGAGTGGAATTCACACTTCTGCATCGCGGGATCGATGAGCTTCACCAGCACCGTGATGAACAGGCCGCTCTGGAACCATCTGATCTGAGGGTGGAAGCTGCGCAGAAACAGCAGCCGTTCGTTACCACCTCGCGGCTCCAGGAGGAACATCCTCGAGGTCTGAGGGACCCACCTGAGCGGCTGGAAGTTGAACAGCGGCACTTTCCGAAGCTCCCCTGTGACCACGGCTTCATCACCTGCATCAGGAGCTCAGCAGTTAGTCGCTCCTCTCGTGATCTGTGAGAAACGAGACTCGACGCACCTGAGAGGGTCCCAGAGGCGACGGCGATCCCTTCAGAGCTGAAACAACAAGAGGAGAAGCTGAGAACGCTTCCAGGAGCTCCTGCTCTTCAACCTTCAAACACGTCCTGAGCGGAATTCAGCACCAAACTCATGATGGAAACCAAACATCTGGAATGTTCTCCTGCAGACCCAATGATCACAGCTCCACCATCATCCCTAACCCTATCCAAGACACCAACCTCGTGCTCCTCTCCTCCTCCGCGTCGCTCAGCACAGCAGCGTTCTTCTCCTCCAGCTCCAGCTTGCTCCTGTCGCTCCGATCAAAGACGCTCTGGTTCTGGTGGGCCGCGGTCGAGCAAGTGCTGAGAAGATCTCTGAAAGCTTCATCTGAGCTGCTCTCAGCGCTGGAACAAGAACATCCACAAAACTTGAGGAGAAGCAGAAGTGTGGATGATACGCAAGCCCCTCCCTGGCAGCTCCAGATCCTGCTTCATGCTGTAAGGATCTCCTCACGTCCCACACCTCCTCCATTCTAACTCCTTCGCTGACAAGAGCCGATGGAACAGCACAGCTCCAGAGAAGGTTTCAGCTTTACCTCCCAGCGTTTCAACATTACTCTGTAGTGATCTGAGTCAGGTACTCTCCTCAACCTCGTCCTGCACAACCTCAGTAACACGTGCCTCACTGGATAGCATGAACCCTCTCTGCATTTGATCAATCCACAACTAAAGGCTGAAGAGAAACCACTCCATCAACCATCCAAGATCCACCAAAACGAGGCGGCTGCCGTGGCAACCAGTTACAAAGTTGTAAGAGCATTTCAAAGCGGCCGTATTAACTGAAACCCCACGTGTCCATGCCGCTCGATAACAAGAGTCGCTGACGACCAATGCCATCGAGCAGCTTGTCGTCGCCTCCCCCCACGCGGGGGAGTGGTGCTGTGAGGCTGGACCGTACCTGAGCTCCGGCAGCTGCGGAGCCTGGATCTCCTGCTCTCTCTGGAACAGCTCTCGCAGCAGCTCCACGTGCTGAGGGTTGCTCACCCCGAAGCCCGAGGCCAGGATCTCCGTCCGCACGCTGTACTCGTTAATGAAGGTCTTCAGCCCAGGCACCCGCGTCACCCGCACCTGAGCACGGAACAGAAGCGTCACGCGGCGCTCCCCACGGAGAACCCTCGCGGTGCACCTACCAGCGGGTCCACCCACAGCGTGTTCCCCAGACTCATGACGACCCGGGCCTGATGCGGCTTCCCTCGGATCTTCAGACTGACCGCCCGCGTCACCTGAGCAAACACGGAAACAGGTCAGGAGGAGCGAGCCACCAACGGGAGCAGAGCAAGAGCACCTTCGGGTTCCAGTCGAGCTCTCCGTCCACCGGCTGGACTCTGCAGAGCACCATCTCCACCGCCTGCGCCGGCAGGTCCTGGAAGCGCTCGGGGAGCTGCAGCAGCTGGTGTGACTTCACTTCCTGTGTCCGGCCTTCGTCGATGAAGCAGACGGTGGCGCTCCTGAACAGCTGCTCTCCTTTCTCCGGGATGTCCACCACTCGAACCCTGGAGAGGGAGCGAGTCGTATCTGAACTCTGGGAACCTTTCTCAGCTGCGGCGCCCGCTGTACCGTTTATAGATGCTCTCCTCCTGGACGGCGTACAGATGTTCCTTCAGGATCTCCACGGCACAGAGTCTCTCTGCGGCAAAGTGCTCCTTCATCCGAGCGTCCAGAGCCTCGTACGCGTCCTCCTTCTGAGCCACGACTCGACCGCTGAACACATTCGCCGTCCTGATGCAGAGCGGCAGCACCTGCAGAAGCCACAAGCGTTCAGTCCATCACGCTCCAGGAGCGCTGATGTTTAGGAGGTGCATCTACAGACGTCTGCGGAGCACACTTCTACACTTAGAGCTCCTGGCTGCTTCTGCAGGAGACTCACCGTGACGGTTCTGGACTCCAGGTGCAGGAGCAGGGGCTGGTCCACAGCTGGGTTCATCGTGTGTCGCTCTGGACACACGCCGCTGTCCCTGGAACACACAGCACCGGCTTTACCTGCACCTCCTTCAGAGAGCTGCTGCAGGGCTGGGTGCTCCTGCTCCACACCGGACTCCTCCCTCCCTGCCTCCCTTATCCTCCCATCTTTCCCCCCTGCCCTGAGTGAGACCTGCAGAAGCCGAAACTCTTGAGCGAGCAGCACAGTTCTCTCTCTCTCTTCTCCTCCTCTTTGGCCCTCTGGACGCCGTTGGCAAAGCTCAGGAGTTCTGGAGGCAGCAGTGCTCCTGTTCTCCTCAGGAACCTCAGGACACCACAGACGTGCCGCACATTCAGCTCTGACAGAAGCAGCACGGATTGAGCCACAGAGGATCCGTGCTCTCCACGGGAGTCCTGCAGAGAGAACAGGTTCAGCCTCCTCGTCATCATAGGAGCAGTGACAAGGAGAGCACGCACCGTCTCCGCCGGGACGCTGAAGTTCTGGGCCATGCAGAAGAGCCGGCTGCCGAACCGCTTGGGGCTGCCGGGAAAGCCATAATGCACCACGGCGGTGGCGTCCCGGATGCCCAGCGCCTTCAGACAGGAGTCGCTGGTGACTGCAGAGAGGAGCAGAAGCCCTGAGAACCCAGAACCCTGCGGAGATCCCTCAGCGGCGCATCACTCACCCAGAATGAGCTGCGTTCCCCGGCCGAGGCGCTTCCTCCACTGATCGATGACGTGCTGGAACCCATCGCTCTCCTGCTCCACAGCGCGGAGAGTGAACACCGCTGTGTTGCCCACAGCCTGAAACAGAGATCAGCAGCCAATCAGAGCAGAGCTCCCCCCGCTGAACCTGCAGCAGCGAGCTCGAGAGGAGCGCGCCACCTTGAACACGGTCTCCGTCTCCTCCTCCGAGCTGGTGATGATGAGCGTCTTCTGAGGCTGCTGAGGATTGAAGTCCAGCGAGGAGAGGAGGACCGAGATCTTCTCACAGTCCAGACACAGCTGAACCCGCTGCAGACAGAGAGAGAGAGAGAGAGAGAGAGAGAGAG